TTTTTAAAAAGTGGCATTTTTGTAAAGATTTAAAAAATGTGGCATTTTTGTAAAATGGTACTTGAAAGTGGCATTTTTCAAAAAAATTTTAAAATAAAATAATTTAACATTATTGTACTATTTAATAATAATAATTAATCAATCAGTGCTGCTACATTTGTTTGTCCGCTAAGTCACACTAAAGGTCCAAACTGTTTCGAGGAGAAGACATGGTGTTTCGACGAAGGATTCGGACAAATATAAGACAATTCAAACTTTCACACATGCATGCATTTTTCTCTTATTAATTGACGATTATTATATCTTTTGTGAACGATTGATTTACGGTTTTAAGAGGTTTTCAAACTCGGAAAAATCAAATATATAATATTTTAGGATGCTTTACGTTACTTTTTTAGACGAGTCTACTATATATATATAATAACTAATCATATTTATATTACATGCTCCACTACTGGAGATTTAACTATAATCCAAATGACTAAGAAAATACGTACCTTCAGGAAAACATTTTTCTTACTTATCTCTATTCCCAAACAATAAACCCATTGTTTACCAAACACATTAAAATTGAATATGAAATAAATAATAAGTTTTTCTTCTCTCTAAAGTCAAGGTGATTATCCGATTGGAAAGATAATAACTTGACTGAATCCATTTGTAGTGACTGCAATTTAAAAATAACAATTCATTACTCAATACATTCATGTGTTGTAGTATCAAATCAATTACATATTCAATTAAACATGTTCGCATACAATATAAACTACTCAATACATATATATACGTTTGCATATATATTAATTCCAATTTCCAAACCACTGCTCCAAGTATCGTAGACTTTGCTAACATCAGAGTTCATAAACCAAACCACTGCTCCAAGTAATTAATTTCATATAATCATAGCTTATACTGTTTTTAATTTTGAGAATAATTATAACTTTGAATTAGTTTTGATTTCATTCATATTCGAGTTTACAATTTTGAGAATTTGTTACTATTTGCCAATCTTGGGATAATATGATATAATGCGTTTTTGGCGCATTCTAACCTTTGTTTTGTAGGTTTTTATCGAGTTTTTTGCTTTACTTTGAGTCATTTTAGGTCAAGAGGAGGTTGGAATGGAAGATTGGAACTCACAATGGGATTTGGCAAAAAATGAGGGAAATTGGATCTTTTGGAAGATTCTGAAGAAAAGGAGCACCCGCTCCCGATCGCTAGATCTGTTCCGCAGAAGATCCAGTTTTGGAAATTTTTATTAAACCTATTTTTGCCACCTAGGGTTTCCCTAATCAATCCCAGCCGCCCCAGACATTTATTTAAAGATATTTTCGATCTCTTTTCAAG